GCAAAAGCATAGCAGCAGTGCCAGTTCTAACGGGTCAATGTCTTTTTCAGAAAGGGCACAGCAGGCACAGGCCGAGGAGGAGGCCCAGGGTGAGGGAGAAGCAGCAGAGGGCCCAGGCCCCAGCAGGAGGAGGGCAGGAGGGGCTCCAGGCCCACAGGCAGCAGGGATTCCCCGGCAGCCCTGCAGAGCCCCCGCTGGAGCAGATCTCCACCCTGCAGCCCGGGGAGGGCCCACGCCGCAGCAGGGGGACATTTCCTGAGGGAGATGCGGCTGTGGGGAGCCCCCGCGGGAGCAGGGTGTTCCTGAAGGGCTGCAGCCCGGTGCAGGGCCCCTGCTGGAGCAGGGCCACGGGTGAGGGGGAAGGGGCAGCCGAGAGGGGCTGGAGGGGCTGAGCGCAGCCCTCATCCCATCCCATCCCATCCCATCCCATCCCATCCCATCCCAGTGCCACCTGCAGGTAGAAGAGTCAGATATGAGGGGGTGACATTGAACCTGGGAAAGCAAGCAAGGGGAAGATGTTTTCATTTTGTCTTTTTTGTTGTTGTTGTTGTTGTTGTTTTTTGTCTTTTTTTTTTTTTCTTAATACCAAATATATTTTAACTGTCAGTAAAGAAAATTCCCCATGTTGAGTCTGATTTGCCTGTGATAGTAACTAATAAGTGATCACCTTGGCTTTGTCATAAAACATGGACTTTTCCACTCTATTTTCTTCCCTTGTCCTATTGAGGAGGGGAAGTGAGAGGGAACCTGGGTGAGAGTTTAGCTCTTAACCAAGGCTAACTCTCTGGAGCAGGGATAATCTTATGCTTGCTCTGGAGCTCCACTCTGAGGTTCTAAATATGATGTGCTTCTGGCTGTAAAGTTGCTGGATGTAATAAACAGTAATGATGACTAGGGTAGGGGTTGAGAGAATAAAGAACTGCCTACTGCAGGAGATCAGGTTCAAGGCTATCTAAGGAACCTGAATGTGCACAAGTCCATGGGACCTAATGAGAGGCATCTGAGAGTCCTGAAAGAACAGGCAGCTGAGTTGCTAAACCTGTATCCATCATATTTGAAAAGTTGTAGTAGCAAAGTTCACAATGACCAGAAAAATGGTAACCCCCATTTTTTGTAAAGGAAAAAAATAAAAAAAAGAAAGACTTAGAGAACCACAGACCAGTCAGTCTCATCTCTGTACCCAACGACTTCATGGAACAGATCCTCATGGAAACTATGCAAAGGCACATAGAAAAGAAAGAGGTGATTGGTGATAGCCAACATGGCTTCACTAAGGGCAAGTCCTGCATGACCTGTTGGCCTACTACAATGGAGTTACAGCATTGATAGATAAGGGAAGAGCAACTGACATCATCTGCCTGGACTTGTGCAAAGCATTTGACACTGTTCCCCATGAGATGCTTGTCTCTAAATTGGAGAGATATGGATTTAACAGATGGACCATTCCGTGGGTAAGGAATTGACTATATGGTCACAGCCAGAGAGTTGTAGTCAACAGCTCAATGTCCAAGTGAAAATCAGTGACAAATGGTGTCCCTCAGGGGTCTGTACTGGGACCAGTATTATTTAACACCTTTGTTGGTAGTATGGACAGCAGGATTGAGTGCACCCTCAGGAAGTGTCCTGGTTTTGGCTAGGGCAGAGTTAATTTTCCTCCTAGTAGATGATATGGTACTGTATTTTGGATTTAGGATGAGAATGATATTGATAATACACTGATGTTTTAACTATTGCAGAGTAGTGTTTAGCCAAAGACTTTTCAGATTCTTATGCTGCCCTAACAGTGACGAGGCTGGGGGTGCACAAGGAGCTGGAAGGACACAGAACCAGGACAGCTGACCCAGACTAACCAAAGGTATGTCCCATACCATATGACATCATGCTGAGCAGCTAATATGGGGAGGTTGGACAGAGTGGGGTGGACCACTGCTCAGGGGTGGGATGGGATGTCTGTCAGCGGGTGATGAGCAATTGCATCACTTGTTTTGTACACATTATTATAATTATTACTATTATCACTATCATTAGTATTTTTTTTCTTTATTTTTCTGTCCTAATAATCTGTCTTTATCTCAATCCATACATTTTTACTTTTTTTTTTCTTTTTTTCCCCAATTCCCTCCCCCATCCCACTGAGGGGGAGCAAACAACTGAGTGGTGCTTAGCTGTCAGATGGGTTAAACCACAACAGCAAGTTTGTGGATGACACCAAGCTCTGTGGTGTGGTTGACATGCTGGAAGGAAGGGACACCATCCAGAGGGATCTTGACAGACTTGCGAGGTGGGCCTGTATAAACCTCATGAAGTTCAACAAAACTGAGTGCAAGGATCGTTTAGTGGAGGACTTGTTAGTGTTAAGTCAGAGGTTGGACTAGGTGATCTTGGAGGTCTCTTCCAACCTAGATGATTCTGTGATTCTGTCTTAGCCCAGGTCTAACCAAGGATGTTTTCAGAAGTATCTCTGAAATTAGTATCACATAATAAACTTTTTCAAATTATATATTATGGAAAAGTTTCCCATCAAAAGTAACCATTGGCACAGAAGGTGTTATGAAACCATAGGTCTTGTTTTGTTACAAAGTACATGTCATTCTAGATTAACCTTAAGTTTTGAAATCACGTCAGGTAAACATGTGGTTTAATATCTGATGTAAGGACAGTATTTTTCCAAAGTACATGTAAGTATTTTCCCATAGGAAAAGCATTTCACTATAATAAAGAAAACAACTACATTAAATTTGACATTGAGAAGATCCCAAAATGCTTGAACTGTGTCATGGAAAGGAAAAAGTCTTCCCACAACTTCTGCCTAAAACCTAATTGATCAAAGAACCCTATGCCAATCTGTCTTGGTTGTACTGCTTAGTGGACTTTGAATGAGACCAGTAGAAAAGGAAATGTGACACCAAGGGAGAAATAAAACAAAGAAAAAACTCTCTTGACATTCACTCTGTGTGTCACATTGAAGGAATTATTTATCCTTTTTAGTAAGTAGAATAACTTACTAAAATGGAAAGGTTTAATATAAACAAGAATGTTCTGAGGAAAATTTAATTGCAAGATAGATCCTCAGCAGGTATAAATTAGTATGATTTGATGGAATTCATAGCCTGACCTCAAGTTTCCCCAGATGAGCATCTGGTCTATTGCATGTTGTGTGCTTTAGTGTGCTAAATATTAAAATTAAACCATTCTAATAAACTTTTCCCCATGTTTTTCATTCTTCAAATGATGGCTGATAGTTTATTAATAGACCCAGAAACTTCAATTAGTTTGTTACAAAGTCCCTTTGTACTGCACTAGACCAAACTCCTTTAACCTTTCTGTGACATATCTCAAAGGATATTATTCTTGTTGCTATGTTTCTTACTAGCTCAAGGGCAATTATGTTCTTGCTGAGGTATTACAACAAAAGCTGCAGAAAGTGCTCTGGTTGAGGTATAAAAAGTGCCTTCCACAGCAATAAAACCACCTCCTAAGAGTTACGGTACCCTCCCATAGCATGCTTTGACGGCATTCTATTCATTTTCTCTTTGGGAGCCATATATTTCATGGCACATTTGAAGGACTTTTTCAATGTTTTCCCCATTCTTTGTGTGTGTGTGTGTGTTTGGCTACTTTTAAGCAACGTTAATGCAGCAGACTGTTTCATATCTACTTGTATGATTCACCCTTTTCCTCAACTTTTTTGATAGAACTTTACAGTGATTAATTATTTCAATTTAGTAGCATTCAGAAAACCAGTAGCTAAGTGCTATTATGTTTTGTAGAGCAACAGGCAGTTTATGTCGTGGAAAGCTTGCTGCAAATAGAGGGAAGATATTCAAGCCTCTCTGAACTCAATATCAAAACCTGGCTAACCACCAGTGGATAACCACCAATCTTACACAGAGACATTAAACTACTTATTACATATTCCACAGTAAGCCTATGCCTTAGCTCATACCTGCTGAGAGTACAGACTATTTTTTTCTCTTCATGAAAATAATTGGACAATCAGCAACAGCATGAAGTTCAACAAGGGAAAATGCTGGGTGCTGCACCGTGGACAGGGTAATGCTGGACACAGTTACAGACTGGGAGAAGAGTGGTTAGAAAGCAGCTCTTCAGAAAAGCATCTGAGGGTGCTGGTTGACAGCAGCAGCAGCAGCTCAGCATGAGACAGCAGTGTGCCCTGGCAGCCAAGTGGACAAACTACATTTTAGGATGCACTGAATGCAGAATACCCAGCTGATCAAAAGAGGTGACTTGCCCACTGTATTTAGTGTTGGTGCAGCCTCACCTTAAATATTGCGCATGGTTTGGGATCCACAATCCAATCCTTTGAGGAGGGGGAGTGAGAGAGCAGTTGTGGTGGAGTTCATCTGCCCAGCAGGGTAAAACCACACCACAGTTATCTAGTTTGGAGGAAAGGAGGCTGCAAAGCAACCTCACTGCTCTCCCCTGAGGACAAGAAGTGGAGAGGGAGGTGCTGGTCTCTTTTCTGTGATAACCAGTAAGAATAGCACAAAGCTGCACCAGGGCAGGTTCAGACTAGAGATTGGGAAAAAATTATTTTCCATGAGTGTGGTCAAACACTGAAACAGGCTTGCTAGTGAGGTGGTAGATGCCCAATGCCTGCCAGTTTTCAAGAGGCATTTTGACAGTGCCTTCAATAATGTGTTTTAACTTCCAGTTCGCTGTGAATTGGTCAGGCAGTTAGTTGGACTGGATGATCTTTGAAGGTCTTTTGCAACTGAACTATTCTATTCTATTCTATTCTATTCTATTCTATTCTATTCTATTCTATTCTATTCTATTCTATTCTATTCTATTCTATTCTATTCTATTCCATTCCATTCCATTCCATTCCATTCCATTCCATTCCATTCCATTCCATTCCATAAAATATATACAACGTAAAAATACACTTCTATCTAATAAAGTAAGATAACTGCTTAAAGTATCTTATTTTTAATCATGAACACTCCATTTGTCAATCAAGTCAATCAATGGTACTTTTAAAAATATTTGTCTACATATTCTTTAAATGTTCTCCTTCAGGAAAAAGAGGCAGTCTCTCAATTCATACTTCAACTTCTCCATTTTGAATAGTTTAATTAGCTGACTCAATCCACAGGTGTTTTACATGAATGGATAGAACACGTGATTCTTTTAATTCAGTGATTCATATTTCAGTTTTTAAGCTACATTTCCCTTCAAGGTTTTCAGTCACTCCATGATTTGTCATTTTAGCATTTGTAAAGCAACTCACCTTTCTGACAACTGTAAAAGTGACTAGTCATAATTTATTTTATGGCTGCATTTTGGAGTTCCTAAGGGGCTCTTCTCTGGAAATCATTTCTTAATTTCAGCGAAGCTCCATTCTTCAACTTTCTCCTCATTTATGCTGGCAGATGGTAATTATTTAATATATTTGCTTTTTCCTTTGTCCTTCATCTCTAATTCCCTATAATCATTCTTAAGAGAATTCATCTTCCATTTCATTATTGTTTACTTTTTATAGCATGAAATCACTTTATTTGTTCAGCATCCTGCTATTCAAATATCATATTCTTTCCCCCCCCAGAATTAATTCTTTGTTATTTTTACTTCCTCCTATAGAAAGCCCAATTTGCAAATTATTGGATTCTGTGTAGCTTTAAAATGCTATTGTCTGTGGTATTTTTTATTTTATTTTAATTTAATTATTTTATTTTATTTTATTTTATTTTATTTTATTTTATTTTATTTTATTTTATTTTTATTCTTGTTTACATCTTATTCTAATCACATTGGTTTGTGTCTCATGCTGTCTTTTTTGACAATTAGGACACTATTTATGAAACAAATGCATTATTTACATGACAATAACTTGTAACTAATGTGTGTTTTCTTTGTAATTTTTTAGCTTTTGTGATATATCAACGCCCATCCTTGACAGCTGTCTCCTCAACAGGATAGAGAAAATGAGTGCTTCATATACAATGTGATTATTTCATTTTAGCGTGCATTGCAGACTAATAAAGTACTTAGACCACAATGAAATGAGTATTCCTGAAATTATGTGAAATAGGGATAAGTCAGACTTACAGAATTTTGTAACAAGATGTATTAACTGCTAAGGCAGCAAGTTCAACCAACTCATCCCTCTATCTGAATTTGTACAATGAAGATAGACCTTGACTCCTCTTCAAGGAGCTTTCATATCCCAGGATCAAAAATGTGATGTAAGAATTTAAGGAAGACCATTGGAGAAAATTTTTTTGGCAGTGCTTTCAATTTAGGTAAATGAATTCAAGTTTGTTTGAACACGTACTGATAATAAGAATATATATATGTGGGTTCAAATAAGCTTTGCCCACAACACTCTGCAAGTATAACTACTGTTATTGTTATGGGACTATTCCAACAATCACTTGTTAATGACAAGCACAAACAGGACAAGCCTGTGTTGCATTGTGCTTTTACGCATAGATCCCTGGAATGCTGCAATGAGAAGGGTCTTCAGTTCATCTGTATTGCTGTGCCTCCTGGCTACACAAAATAGCTGAGATCTGACCATAACAGGAAGAATTTTCCTGACTGTCTGTAATAATAACCACTTCCTGGAAAGCAATCTCACCTTATGTAAATTGTCACCACAAAGTTTATTGATGGAAAGCTGAGAGATCTCATGGAGATGCAGGTAATCAAAATGCCATTATCAGTGTACTAGTGCCAATTTTTGTGACTATTATTAGCACAAAAATAACTGGCAGGTTTTTCTAAATGATCCTTAGTTATCTCCTACTACCATCAAAATTGATATGTAGTGGCTTCCAATTATTATTCTTCATCTCATTTCCTGTTCATCTGCCATATGTTTTCTCAAAGTCTAATACAAAGTTCTATGCTCTTCAGTGAGCTTCTCATAAATCATTATATTGTCTCAATTCACTGTTAGTATGTGGCAGGGAGAAAGTTTGGTGCTGGCTTTCTTGTATTTATGTGCCTTTTTATTTTCTCCATCTCACTTTGTAAAAATGAACATTCATAAAAATATGTGGTGTTTAAAACACATCATCTAGGCTAAACTGGCACTTACCAGCTTTCTCAGCCTCAAAAGTGCAACCATGACTGGGTATCTGTCCCTCCAGGTAATCATACAGTTATCCACATCCACATCTCAAAGTACATGAAATGCTCACCTTGTTAAATCTAATTGGTGTATAGATGGCACCTGTAAGACTTGATTATAATGTTGGTGTTCCCTCCCATACCACTGGCCCAGTTCCATTTATTTTGCACTATCGTGCAAAACAAGGAGGGATGTGGCCTTTAGATGCTGCACATGGGCATTGAAACAACCTACAAAGCAAAAATGCATGGCACAATGTCTGTGGAGTACTGAGCAAGAAACGTGTAACCAGAAGAGGGGGAGTAGAAGTCCTTACTACATATAAGGATTATGGACATGCACGTTCTGACCACATATGAAGTTGTTAGGTGTGGGCCATTTAGATGTTATATTGAAAAAGGAACAACATTTAACCTTTTGCTATCTAGATTGGAATACATGAACCTACATCAACAAACCCAGGACCAAAGTAATGATATGTGGATAGAGTTCCTCAACTAATCATTATAGCAGTAGTCAGGCTAGAGGCGGTGAAACGGCTTCCTCTACCTCCTACCCCAAAACATCTGGAAAGACCAAGGCAAAGGCTCTCTATGGCATTTTTGCAGAACATACCTATATCTATATGTCTATATGCATGTGCATACAGATACGTATATTTAAGATGCTCATGGATGATCATCGACTTACTGAAGCTACTCCAGAGAAGGGCCATGAAAACAATGAAGTGATTGGAACATCTTTCATATAAGGAGAGACTGAGAGGTGGGACTGTTCAGCCTGGAAAAGAGAAAGCTCAGAGAAATCTTACCAATGTATAATATCTTATGGGTGGGAATGAAGCAGAGATACAGACTCTTCTCAGTGACTGGTCAAAAGTCAGTGGCCACAACTTTAAGAACAAGATATCTGAACATACAGAAAATATATATATATAAATATATATATATATATTTCTTTTTATTGCAAGAGTGATCAAACACTGAAACGGGTTGCCCAGAGATATTGTGGTGTCTCCGTCTTTCAAAAGCCAGCTGGACACAGTCCTGGGCCAACCTACTGCAAGTGACCCTGCATCAGCAGAAAGATGGAGGTAGATGACCTCTAGAAGGTCCTTCCAACTTCAGTTTTTCTGTGTTTCTGTAGTTCTGTGATTCTATGTTATGGCTTAGTACTTGCAAAGAATATCAGTATGATATTTTAACTGTTATCATTTGGTTATACACCTTTATTAGTGTTCTGCAGAAGATGTGTGCAAGCTGTACCATGTATCTTCTCTCCTCAGGCAGCTCTTTGGATAAACTCCCTTCTTATACTATAATTTGTTTCTAGCATGAGGAAGTTCTGTTGCAGATTCTTTTGGTCTTTACACAGCAGCTTGAACATGAAATATTTCAGTTTCCAGCTACATAAAAAAAAAATAAATAAATAAAAAAATAAAGCTTTTTTAAGGAAAATTAAATATGTAAAAAGTACATTTTTAAAAGTACATTTTTTTCAGTTACAAACCTGTCTTCCCAGGAAGTGTTCAGCCTGTCCTCTTTATCAGCACGTTATATGAAATGGCCGCTAGAGGGGGACGTATTATGAACACCCCACAATAAATGCTGTATTTATGTATGAAGTTGAAAAATGTGATCTAATTATACACATCTAGCTAATATTTTAAAATATGAATTATCTCATGTCACTGTTTTTTATTCCTTTTTTTTTTTTCTTATCAGATCTTTTAAAAATTCACCAAAACCTCTATCATTTTAGAGATCCATATAGAGATCCTCAGAGCAAAGTCATTATTCCATGGTGTTCTAGGAAGAATACTTAATGCTTTATTATTATCATGGGTAATTTTTTTCTCTCTTTTTCTTCTTTTTTTTTCTCTCTCTTTTTTTTTTTTTTTTTTTTTCTATTTTGTGCTCACTTTAGTCTCCTAAATCTCATGTCAAATTATTTTGAGCTCTAATTAAAAAAATTGAAAAAAAAAAGAGTAAATGATCACTGAATGTTTTGTCATTGCATAAAAAGTGATCTCATACAAGAGATTAAGATAAAGTGAAAATAATAGAAATGAAAAAAAAATCATTTTACATTTTTTAATTAAGAAGCTTAAGAATAAAATAGAAATTCAAATGGATAAATAATGTCTGTCTCTCCCCAAAAATAATAAAATAATAATAATAATAATAATAATAATAATAATAATAATAATAATAATAATAATAATAATAATAATAATAATAATAATAATAATAATAATAATAAAACAAAAACAGAAAGGTGGTAATTAAAGTTCACCTGAAATGCAATCTAGATTTTTCTCATGCTAATATACATAAGTAAAACTGCAACAAAACTAAAGGTGGAAAGGTCTCCTATCAAATATACTTTTATATACTCTGAAGCATATACATACATGACCTATGAACACAAAGTTAAAAATAGCCAGCTAGAAATCAGTGAAAGTTTCAATTATGCTGATAGTGTGCTGGTTTGATGAAAGCATAATAAAAGTACTTAACAAGTAATACAGCTCCTGATATCAGTGATGCACTCTGATGTGCAACACAAGTCTGCAAAAGTCTACCTTTTCATTATAAGAAAGAAAATTGGGGTAATACAAAATATGACACCAATTTCTCTCTGTAACTGGTCTTATTCCAGAGTGAACTATGTGAATCCAGCACTATGTGATTAAAATAAATAAATAAACAGTCTCAAACTGACTCAAATTCCTTTGCCACAAAATCTGTATGTGATACTAACCTCATTCTTCATGGTCATGAGCATTAACTGCTCTGTGGTTTAGGCAGAGTATTAAATGCAACCACAGCCCTAATGCTAACCACATACATGGGTTTGTTGCTGTGTTTGAGCCTCAGCCCCATTTGCTCTTGTACATTGTGAAGGCAGACAGTTTAAACAAGACATACAGATCCTTTTCCCTTTCCATCTGCTCTTACCCACTCTACTTCTGAGGGGCAGGAGTTGCTACAGATATACAGTAAAGCACAATTTGAAAGACAGTGCCACAAAGATATGCTATCACATTATGTCTTTGGCAACGTATTTTTATTTGCACCTTAAGGGGACTGAATTTTCTGAACAATTGTTCCAAAACACGATGGAGTGAAATGTTCTTTCTTATGGTCTGATGATAATCTGTTGTGCCATCATTGTATAAAAGAGCCTTTTTATTGCCCAGGGAAGAAAGCAGCAGCTGAGCATGAATGAGCTGTTTGTGTGTGAATCCAAACGGCTGATCGTCGGGTGGCTGTAATCAGCTCGCGGCTGGCAGCTGCTGGGTGATGTCACACATAGCCTTGGTTGACATCATGCAGACAAGCGAGGAGCAATCCTGTTGCCAAGCAGCCCATTGCTACCCGAAGTCTTGTTCAGTCGAGAGGAACGTAATTGCTCTTTCCTCCAGACAGGCTATACTTAAAAAATACTGTCTCTACTGACTGAGCAGCAGGTCTGGCTAAAGGCTCAAGATGAAAAATAGCCTCCCACCTGGATTCTTTTTTTCACAAATGTTGCCAAATAGCGAAGAGGCGGATAGTTTTGAGTGCCTGTAAAACTTCTCTTCTAAATTACTCCTCCAATACTTTTAGGTCTACGGAATCCCCTACGGCCGAATCCTTGAACCAGCTCATGTATACAGAGACTGTTTGATTTGCCAGTCAGATCCCAGTCTTTCTTGTTTGCTCTTGTTCTGCTACTCAAAGCTTGAAAACAGTCGAGCCATCTGTGACTGACCTGCTCTGGACAACTCTATTTTTTCCTTGCTGTGAACCTTGTGGTCTATAAGGATGCTTTGGTGGCCACTGCTCCCATTCAGCTCATGGTGGTCAAACACAGAGCTTTGTTAACAGAAAGCTTTAATTTACGGCACAGGGCTCTGCAGGAGATCAGGCCTGCATGGAGTACC